ATTTATAAATTATTTAGTTTATGTGCATTGGTATTTTTCTTGCTTGTGTGTCTGTGTAAGAATGTTGGATCCTGGGATTACAAATAGTTGTGAGCTGCTGTGTGGGTGCTGGGAACTGAACCCAGCTCCTCTGGAAGAGCAGTCAGTGCTCTTAACTGCTGAGCCATCTCTCCAGCTCCAACGTGTGTGCCTTTTAATGTAGTTCTCTTCCAGTGAATATCACCTTCCCTACATCAGCTACTAACCACCACCACCTGTGTGTTCAACAACTTCTAATTGGCATCTGTGGTCCAAGCTTCTCACCAGCTTTCAAGGACTTCCTGGAAGTCTTTAGTTAAATTCAGTCATGTTCAAACCAGAAAGTGCTATTTTCTCTTTAAATCTGCTCTCCTTCCTGATTTCCCTGTCCATCCTCTTTCTTACAGGGACAATAAGATTAGAAGCCATTTGAATGCACCATCTGTCTTCCTCGTCTACTATATAACCAGGCAATAACTAAAATATCTCACTCAAATCTTGAAAAGAGATATTTAATTTATTCCTTAAAATATACATTGATTAATTGATTTTCTTATCATTTTTACCTTGTCTTACTTGTGGTGGCTCACAGAGGCTATCTAGTGAGACCTTACTCAGGGTCGGAGATTCTGACACAAAAACTCCCTGGGAGTAATTTATAATATTTCTGAACATACACAGGACTTGAGGACCTCTAAAAGATTCTGTTATAGCTTCAGTATTGAGCCATGGACTCTTTAAAGAATGTCTTAGGATGACATGGAATTATCTTTGGGAATTTGTTTGCTAGTGGAAATGACTTCTATTCCACTTTACTGAGTTTGTATTTAGGCAATATAGTTAGTGCTTGGAAATGTGCTTTTTACTTAGTTGAAAGATAGACAATGTTGTTTGTCTCACAGTGACTGCACTATATTTCTTCATCATTCATTCTTATCTTCTTATAGAAAGGTAGCATTTTGCCTCTTGGTGATGTACCTAATGTCATTGATAACTATCAGTTACATATTGTGAGTACCTATGCTACTAATGATTATAAGTCTGCCCTCCAACCGATGGCCTCCATTTGCTTCCTGGAGAAATAGTATGTGTTGAGCATATGGCTATATCTTTTTCCATTAGCTGTAGCTTATCAGGCTAATAAAGTTGTTATGTGTATCATATAAATAGGCTCAAACTTTTATCAGACATAATTCTTTTGTATAATACAGTTTTTAATCATTTAACTTTCAAGTTTAAATAAAAGCAGATATATGTGCACATATGAAGGAGCAGAAGTGATTCAAAGAACTGTACAATACATGTTTCTAAGAGAAAAGGCTCTATGACAAAAAACATACTCACATTAAGTAAAAACTTATGGAAGACTGTTCTAAAGGTTTTTTTTTTATCTATAATCTTATGTCACTTTTAATGGAGAGCCAATGTATTTGTTTCCCAGACCCCAGGAAAGTCTACAATCAGGCCCTTGTACTGCATCATTATCTTCATCAGTATCATCTTTTATGCAGTGGGGCTGTCTTTAGGGAACATTAATTGCTAGCTATCTCTTAGGTACTTAAGGGCAATCTTGGAACAATTACCATGTATTTATGGGAATGAGGTATTCATTTATTTATTGCTTTTCTTATAACAATCCCGTAGCACTTGACTTAAGCTGATAACAGTATAAACAGGCTCACTGAGTATTTCGGGAATTGCTTTTCTCTCATCCCCACTATGTACCCTGTAGCACCTCAATACTCCCCTATGGGGCTCACTCTTGGCAGTTAAAACTATAGTGCTGATTGTCATCAAGAGTGTACTGAAGCTATCTTTTCTCAGTCAATTTCTTGTAACAGATATGAGAATATCTTTTCCTCATTTTTTTCAGAAGACTCAAACTGTAATACTGGTATGTGAATCACACAAATTTGTCTAAATAGAGGTCACCTATCTGGTTTTCAGATAAGATTCTAACAGATATAATCTCTTTGTTGGTTATTTGGGTGTTTATGTGAAATAAACGTTCAACCTGACAGCATAAAATACCACTGATGAGCTTAGTAAACCTATTTATTTGACTTAAAATATAGAATTAATTTCTCTATTTTTGTAGAGCCATAGAGCCTTCCTTTTTATAGATCCTAATTTAAATATACATAATATATGATAATATATGGATGAAATCATAATACTGAATGAAAAGACATATGATTTGATCTATTAAAGGAAGAAAAAGATCTCTTACTTTCCAGTCTTTGAGTTTATTCCTGGTCACCTATTTCTAGATGTTCTATATGTAAACCCTTCCAAGAGAACTTTGGCATCAAACTTAGTATGTAATCATCTTCAAAATTAAATTTTGCCTGCCATATAAATAAAAATATAAAAACAAAGGAATAATTTGAAATGGTGAAGCCAATAACAGGAAGTCAGCAGATGATGCTAAATGCAATATACATGTATAAATTTAATTTGTATAGAAATCCTTTGCAGTCTTGAAAAAAAGGGAATGGAGGTGCTCCAATCAATGATATTTAGATTAATTTAGTCTTGTTTTACAGACATGAAAGAAAGTTCAGGATAGACATGTTAAATAATTTATCCCATGTGCTTCAAATCTTAACTAGCAAGAGCAGAATTCCAATAATGATTCATTAGTTAGGCCATTTATTGCTGTGAAAGAATGAGTTTGAAATTTAATGGCTTGAAACAACAATTTTACATGAATTTAATCAGGCAGTTGGATACTATGTACATTTAACAGGATAATTGTAGCAGGTTCATCCCCAGGGTCTCTTGGGATGAAGAACTAAGGACCCACACCATGGATTCTTCCTCAGATTTATAGTTTCAAGCATGTGTTTTCTCCTGCGAAGCAGGACTTAAATCCAACTAGAAAGCAGTTGGTTACATTCATAACATTTGCACCACTAGTGCACATGGACATATTTGTATCACTTTATCCATAGATCAGTGTGGTTCCTGAACTTCATCAGAGAGGTACCTTTATGTAGTGGATGGTGGTTCAAAGTGTTAGTGGAGGGGGTCATCTAGAATTCACTTCTCCATCTCACAAGGCTCAGAGCCCATGGCGGAAGCGGGCATGGAAAGAGGATAAGAGCCAGAGTTCAGGGAGGACCACGGTGAAACAGTGCTTCCTGTATCTAACAGGGGAGCCGAACTTACAAACTCACAGCAAATGTGTTTGTCTGCACAAGACTTGAACAAGATTAAGCCAATCAGTTTTCAAGTATGAAAGGGAAAGGAGCTCGCAAGCCTATACCCCTACCTGAGGAGCTATGGACAATTAGATTTTAAGGTGAGGAAAAGTCACTTTTCTTTATGGATGAGGCCCCTGGTACATTGCAATACACCAGTGGATGATCCCATACCCAGAAGTATATGGGCAGCACAAATTTAACCCAATGGAATATTGGAAAAAAAAATGAAAAGACACTAACTTGGAGTAGATCTTGGAGTAGTTACAGTGAGGAGTGGGAAGATAAATATAATCAAAACATATTGTATGAATTTCTTAAAGAATTAATAAAAATACAAAATTATTAAATAAAACCCCTTTCATTGTTTATTGGATACGCTAGATTGAGCTGATTTGGCTTCTTTGTCTCACAAATGACCATAGCTGCAGGTATCTGAGTAGGTTGGGACTTGGGTAGGATTATAATGTCTGAGATGATCCACTCACAAGCCTGTCATTCAGTGCCGCCTAACACTTTGGATGGGGCTGTTGACTAAAGTATCTTGATTCTCTGCTTTTAAAAATGTATTTATTTATCTAACTCATTTTGTGTGTGTGTGTGTATGTGTGTGTGTGTGTGTGTGTGTGTGTGTGTGTGTGTGTGTGTGTGTGCATTTGCATGAGTTTATATGCACCACTTATTTACAAGAGCCTGTGGTGGCATGAAGAGATCATCAAATCCACTGGAACTAGAACTACATATAATTGTGGCTTGGCAGTAGGTTCTGAAAACCCAGCCCAGGTCCTCTACAAGATTAGGTACTGTTCTTAACCACTTGGCAATCTCTCCAGACCCCACTCTTGTCTTTGATGGTTGTGAAGGAAATTTTAATTCCGTAAATAAAAGTAATATTTGCAAATATCTAAATAATTTCTATGAAAAATTTAGTGGCAGTCTGTGTTGGGTTTTATGTTTAATTCATTAGTGAATAAAAATGGAGAAATATTTTTACATTTCATGCCTTTATCATTGTTCAAATATATGCAGCCAATTTCTTTTTTTTTTTTTTTTTTTTGGTTTTTCGAGACAGGGTTTCTCTGTGTAGCTTTGCGCCTTTCCTGGAACTCACTTGGTAGTCCAGGCTGGCCTCGAACTCACAGAGATCCGCCTGGCTCTGCCTCCCGAGTGCTGGGATTAAAGGCGTGCGCCACCACCGCCCGGCCCAATTTCTTAAAGTATAGGAATAAATTTGGATTTTACAGTCATTTTCTTTCAAAAGAATGACCTTGATTCCATTATTTCTGTAACATCAGGATTGTTATTGCAGCAGTTATCTTTTATTTTACTTTATATCAACTATAATAATTTATTAATAATGCTATTAATAGAGTTGACTTCCCTATAGAATTTTTTCGTGGAAATGTTTTATTCTACAATAAAGCATTCTACATTTGTCTATGAAATGTATTTCTAAGCAGTAGTATTTTACTTTAATGAATCAAATATTGATGGTCAGTCTTCTATTAATATTGACATTTAGAAAAAATATAATCCTTTCCTCCTGAGTCATTATGCCAAGTTAAATGAGAAAAGTTTAAAGGTAATGCAATTTCAAAGCTCTGAGGTAACCTATGCCAACTCTGATAATGTCACGACCTCATGGCAAGACACTGAGAAGCAATGTCAGAGACAGAATCTGAATGAAGTTGTTGTCTTCACAACTATGGATCTGTTATTATGAGTTAATAAAAACTAAAAGCAGTACATGAGAAGTAGTGAGGAAAATCAGGAACTTACTTTTGGTGACAACACCTTCTAGGCGAATGATGTTTGGGTGGTCAAACTGACCCATGATGCTAGCTTCTCTCAGAAAATCTCTTCTTTGTCGATCCACGTGACCACCCTTCAGTGTTTTAATGGCCACTGGGATCTCCCTTTTCCCTGGTGTCTTCAAACGCCCACTGCAGACTTCCCCAAATTCACCTTAAAAAACAAAGCAGAAATCATTTGTTTAAACCAAATACTTCTATGTGAAAAATCCAAATTACCTTGTTATCATTTAGAAAAGAACCTAAAACATGTCTTTCAAGTTTGCCATCTTTACTTGAAAATGCTTTTTCTTTAGTCTGTATTAAACAATAGGCCTGATTGTTTATAATGAATAATAGACTACATTTCCATGTGCTACTCCAAGGGAGCTCTGTTGAGAGACATCCCTGATCTGCTGCAGAATTATTTCCAGCAGAATGTGAGATGATAATGTAAATCTAGAGAAAAGTAATCATTACCTAAAATTCCCTGTTCCTCTTCTCTGTCCTAATCTATGGGCCTAATACCATCTTTGTTCAGAGAATCTACCAAGTTTTGTGGTTTATTTGCTCTCTGAAGTCATATATCTGGGTTTTATGACAATTAGAAAGCAATATTGTTTCAATTAATTTATGAACATTGAGAAAACCCATGCTGAACACAATTATAATAACTTATATAGGATACAGAATTATACAAGCTTTATTGATGAAAATGTAAATGTGTAAAGATGAGTTTTGTTTCAGTTCTAGTTTCATCAATAGATTAAATAAGCAAGTATTTTCTAAATTGTTGCACATATACTACTAGGTTGCTGTGAAATTCAAAGAGGTATATGGTATTATTTTGAACTCACAGAAAAATAGGAGATGAATGCAAATGAAACACTTAGAGCATTCCATCCATGTCAATACTGCTTCCCTTAAGAACAGCTATGGTTTGAGGACTTGCAGAGAGGGTTATAGCTTATTTTGGACTGTGAATGATGAGTAGGATGTACAAGTACAGGAGCAGAAGAAACATGTGGGATGGGTGTATTGAAGATGTAAAGAAAATGAATAAAAAGATTAAAAGGTTAGAAACAGTCAATGAATGAAGAGGATACAAGGCCACTGATTCTGAGGGGCTGTTATGGAAAAGGTCATAGTCTTTCTCAGGGTAACAGAATACATTCAACAAAGATTAAGTGGATGGGAAAATAACTCATTAAAAAGGGGCTTGCATATAAGTATGAAGGCCTGAGTTTGACCCCCAGAACCCATATTAAGAACACAGGTATAAGGGAGGTGGAGACAGGTGGATCCCATCCCTAGGGTTCACGGTTTAAGCCAGCCTAGCTTAGTAGGCAAATTTGAAGACAGAGACTCTGTCTCAAAAACCAAGATGGATGGTTTCTGAGAAACTATACTTGAAGATGTTCAACTGTCCTACATATATACCTGCATAAAAAAAACCAACCAAACAAACTCAACCCTCCAAAAAAAAACCCAAAACCCAAAATCCAGAATCTAAATTTTTCTATGGAAAATGCTCTACATTTACTTAAGACCATAATGTTTGATGCCAATTTAGTAATTGGTAACATGATAATGTTAATATTTTATGTTATTGCATAGGATTTCTTTTCTGCAGGAATATAAGGGAAATTAAAAGAGATAACATGCATGCAAATATTTACCAACTATAAATGGTCAGGGCTGGGAATGTAACTCAGTTGCTAATGTTTGTCTACCGTATATGAGGCTCTGGGTTCAATTCTCAGTATAGTATAAACCAGTCATGTTGATGCATGTCTGCAACCCCATCACTGGGGAGGTATAGGCAGGAATATCAGAAATTCAAGGCCATCACTAGTTACAAAGCAAGTTCCAGGGAAGCCTGTGGTATGTGATGCTTGGCCTCAAAATGAAAACAGGAAGTTGGAGAGATGGCTCATTGGTCAAGAGCACTTGCTGCAGCATAAGAACCGAAGTCTGGATCCCAGCACCCACATTACTGGCACTTGCCGACTTGTGGCTTAGCTGAAAAACTGTGAGGTCCGGGCTCAGGGAAAGAGACAGCGCCTCAAAGAAGTAAGGTGAGAGCAACAGAAAAGGACGCCCACATTCTCCTAGGGCTTCCACACACTCCTAGCTACACACTTGCTCCTATACCACACTCACTGCACTCACGCATATTCACACATACTCACATATATGCACACACTAACCAAAGCTAAGTAACAAGCCAATGAGACATACACACACACACACACACACACACACACACACACACACACACGCCACATACTGTGGAGTATTACTCACAAATGACTTTAGATCATTTACATTTAAATCTTTTAAGGGTAGAAGGAATAAAAACTCATGTCTCTTCAGTTCATTAGTTCACAGTTCTAATCAACTGTTGGATGAGAATAGAAGATCAAATTATAATTTGTGGTGCCATGGATTTCAGTTATCCACATTGTCTGTTCCTCAATTCATCAGTCAACCAAACACTGACTATATGTGAATAACTACATCTGTTTATTAATTTTAAGTAAAAAAGACTATATTTTCTTTCTAAAATTATATGCATACATGTCTGTCAGAAATAGAAAGTCTAACAAGTTAGTTGTCATTATTACTATTATTATTATTATTATTATTATAACTACTACTACTACTACCACTACTACTACTACTACCAGAACTAGAAACCATGTATTACAAAAGAAAAAGGCACCCCCTCTGAAGGAAATAGGCTAGTAAGCTGGGAAGGGTGGCTTCAAAGCTTAGAGTTTGTCTTTTATATGTTAAAAATTCACACAAGCAAGGACATGAAAACACTGATTATACTGTTGTCCCCAGGAAATGGAGTGCTCATAATATTGGACTTGACAAATCTTGCCCAAATTTTGCAAGAAATATAAGAATATATTTTTAACTTGATGCTTTCAATTTGTTGGGAGATGAATGTTCATATTTCACAGAGAATAAAGCTGAGGTTTTTTTTCTAAAGTTCTTTCATAAAGCTTTTGATTTTTTAAAGATTTTATTTTGTACCTAAAAATAATTGTTAATAGAAAATTGCAACATTTTTCTCAGCCTCTGCAACCTTTGTGGGGGAAAAAGATGTTTGAATATGTCTTAACTAATGTCAAATATACACAAAGCTTACTAAAGTATTAGAAATTTGTCTATTGATCAGACTTCTCCCCCTAAGAAATATGTAGAAAAAGTAAAGCATTTATCTTTGCTTTTCTTGATCTTTTACTGAACCTGAAAACACCAGCTAGTATTAATAAAGACTTGACAATATTTAGAAATGAAATAGCTGGCCTAAGTCCAAATACATTTGATTTTTTTCCATCCACATATCATAAGAATTCAAATAAACTTTTGAGTACAATAAAAACATGACAGCTCTGTTGGTATTTTATCAAGACAGACAGAGTGGTAATTTTCTTTGGTTTTCTGTTGTCTGAAACTCATGCATCTTATTAACACCAGGCAGGTGTTTTCTTCATGTCAAGCTTTGCTTGATCAGGTTGTTATCACACTTATTTCATTGGCACTAAATATGGTGATCTGAGATTCCAGCTCTCCTTTATTTCCAACCGCTTAACACAAGGAAACAAAAATGCCAAATTCCTGTGTTATTTAAAGAATCATGTGTATTGGTTTTTGGAATGGTAAATATGCCTTAAGGATCCGAGACTCAGTGAATTTTTCAGGCATGGGCCAAAAAACTCACTTGTAAAATGTGTTCAAATCTTCTTTCACAGAAAGCCTGGAGATATCACACATATAAAAGTGTTTTAAACTTAAGTATAATCTCATAAATTGCCAAACACTGATTCATTATGTTACTGTCAGTTATTGTAACAGTAGTTACAATAACTGACAGTAACATCCTAGATGTAACTTGGTCATCAGTAAGAAAAATTATTCCTCAATAAGATTGTGAATATTTATATACATAATTTAGTCCCTAGCTAACCCATTAACTAGAGGCACATGACATTAATGACTACTTGTGCATAATTGCAAACATTATTACAATGCCCTCACATGCTTTTTTGTGGCAATGAGTCTATTAACTTAACACGTACTTTAATCTCTCTAAAAACCTTTTGAAGTAAGTACTAATATTCAATTTATAAATGAGGAAACTGAAACACACCTCCTACATAACTTGTTCACAACCAAACAACTGTTAGGCCCAACAGTTCATCATGGTTAACACTGTTTTCTGCTATTTGAGCAATTTAGTCATTATTAGCATTTTATTGCATTCATATGCTAAGTTCCTTATGGTAATAATGCTATCTTTCTTCACATCAGCTATCTTAAGTGTTTAGATCATGAACTAGACTGGAAATGTACAGAGTGATGAAGCCATGCTGTATGAATCCTTCACTACTGCCCTAGGTGAGGTTACAATTGCTGTGATGAAATATCATGACAAAAAGCAACTTGGGGATGAAAGGGTTTATTTCAGCTTACAATTCCAGGTGACAGTCCATCACTGAGGAAAGTCAGGGCAGGAACTCCAACAGGGCAGGAACTTGGAGGCAGTATACAGAGGCCATGGAGAGGATGCTATTTCCTGGCCTGCTCCTCATGGCTTGCTCAGTCTGCTTTCTTATAGAACCCAGGACCACAAGCCCAGGGATGGCACCACCTACAATGGACTGGACTCTCCACCATTGATCAATAACTAAGAAAATGTCTTACATCCAGATCTTACGGAGGCATTTTCTCAATTGAATTTTGCTTTCAGATAACTCTAGTTTGTGTTAAGTTGACATAAAACTATTAGCGCAACTACTAAATTTGAGCCCTAGCTCAAAGGTGCTGTATATTAGGTGATCTGTAGAAACCACTACAGTCCAGTTTCAAGGTGGCTAAGAAAATTATACACAGGATAATTGATCTTCTGCCATGGACAGTACATTTACTAGCTAACAATCCCATCTATCTGCCAAGTAGTGGTAAAAATGTTTCTTGACAAGCAATTTTATTGGATAATATATAGAGTCTTGTGAAAATATCAATTAGTATTGGATTTTCCACAAAAACTGCAGAATTGAGTTGAAACTTGCAGGAAAGCAGAAAGAAGTAAGTATAATCTGCTTGGAAAGCTATGACATCATGATCATGACAGCCATCCTTAAGTTCCATCCTCTGTGA